TCTTTCCCTCACTCCCTCCCCCCGAGCACGCAATGAAATTTTATACCAGCGGGGCACACCGAGCACGTACCGACGATAGAAGTAGCGTGCGAATTGTCCGACAGCGACCTTCCTATTGATTTCCACCTGCGTCGATTTAACTCGACCTCGGTACTCACCCTCTCCCAGCCCGCTCTCTTTCCCGTTCCACCCTCCGGTTCGTCCCCTGTTTCCACTCCACCCATCCACCATTCCGTATCGTCCGTGCGCGACCACCCAATTATTGCGTAACGCGGCCACCATGCGCGCGAGGGAAGACAAATAACGCGGTAATAACTTCGCGAATGTCGCGAAAAAACGACACCGGGGAAAATCCGTCGTTCCGCTTTTTGTTCGTTCCATGTCATCCGTCTGGGGAAAAGCACTGTTTTCGAACGACGGGGCGGTGCGCCTGGAAACCCGTGAAAATCCCAGCCATCTCGTAAGATTGGACGGGGAAAACGGTTTCTACCTGTCAAATTTTTCCCTCTGATTTCTCGCGCAGCGGGAATAACGACGCCTTAATGGCGCGCGCATTGTCGGTCTCCCCTTTTCTTTCTCGGCAACAATTCGCCCTGGCGAACGGGCCAACAGGCTAGCGATTCCTTTCCTCCACTTCGCGTTTGAATCGCGCAATCGGATGAAACGTTATCGTTCAGACGTATCGCGTAACGTGTACGAACGGTATCAATGCGATCGCCTCTCGAGCGTCGGGGCTAATTGCGCGCGACACGCTAAGTGTTTCGCTATTGAAACGTAACGCGTAACAGCGCGACGATAAAGTCCCGGGTATACACGGCTTAATGAAACGACGACGCGACGCTTTACACCCCGATGCCAAACTTTCGATCGCTCTCGTCGCATTTTCTTTGCCTCCTCCACCGATGCTTACGCGTTGTGAAATTTCGTTACGAGACGCTAATTTCGGGCGAAGCGTGCTCGTTCCCCTCTTTGTTTGTCCGAGGTTCTCTTTCTCCTCCGCTTTCCTATCCTTTCTCTTTCCTCTTCTCTTCTGTTCCTCGTTTCCCTTCGCTGTTTGTCGCTCGCTCAACGACCATAAAGCAATTCGCGATCGTTTTCTTGCTGCCGTTAAATTTCGTCCGCTCCGCGACTTTCTCCGCGGAAAATTTCGTTCCGACCGTAAACGGGGAACGAAGTTCGGGACACGGGATTGGTTCCAGCATTGATCTTCGATTCCTGCACGTACCCGGGGTCTCGGCTTACAGGTAAACTGAAACTAACAAAGGGTAACCCGGTGAAGCGACTTCGTCTAACGAAGGGAAACGCAAACATTTTATTTCGCAACTTTCGAGCTTGTCGAGCTAAACGAAAGAGGGACAGAATTTTTCCACGCTTCCGTCTCCCTTTTTTCACGTTTCTCTCCTTTCCCTCCACCGCTCTCCGAGTTCGATCCCGCTACAGATTTCCTTCTCTTCTCCCTCGACGACAATTTCATTAAGACAATCAAACGATGCCCCAGTCCTCCATTTTATACCTTCGTACGAATTCCCAGAGAAAGGATAATAAAATATCCACGAACATCCGCCGGTCCATAGAATATAATTGAAAGCTATTAGCGCGTTATCTGGTCCACGAAAGCTTTCGCTTTGCAATACAATCGGGATGGCAGAGGCACAACTGGAAAGTTAAAAATCCCGTGTCGCTCCACTCTTCAGATTTTAATTCCATTTCATCCGGTCGCGGTCCGCGAATAAACCTTCCAATTAGAGATCTCGACTGTCCTTATTTCAATTAAAACCTTTCTTTCACCCTGTACCCGTGTTATCGTTCCCGTTTTCCCTCGTTCATAATCGTAACAGCGCCGAGAGTTAAAGAGATCTATACACCCCGGAATATCGTCCGGCGAGCAACCCTAAACGAGGACCGTTTAATTCTTGCACAAATCCGGCCCGTACAGTCAGACGATTCTCTTAACCTCGGCTGTTTTTAAAATCGTATCGCTCTCCTCCCTCGACTATTCGGGCCACTTCCCTAACCCCGTTACCCTCGATTCCCCAAAAGACTGCTCGTTCGGCCCTCGCGTTGATATGATAATAACTTTGCTACGCTCTCGGGAACGGGAATCGGCCGAAATCCAGGCTCCAGGTAATACTTTTTCGAAAACTTTTTGAAGAATGTGCCCTGGCTCGAATCTCACCACTCCATCCCCCAGATTATGGACGACGCAGGGTAGCAGCGCCGTGGATCCAGATTGGGCGGAGATCACCGTGGAATTTTCGGTACCAAAGCTCATCGGCAGAGTGGGTGGCAAGTCGATGTCCAACGGTTTCATGCTCGCTTCCAACGAATTCCCGTGTGCAGTCACGATCTCGGCTGTGGCCGCTGTCGGGTACTCTGAAAAATAGGAATCGAGTCAAAAAGATCGTGTCGCGGAGGGTGTTAGCTCGCATTCCGCGCGTAAAGCTCGCGGTATCGCGAGGAGGATCCTCGTTAAGAGGCTTCCCTCTGGACTTTGCTTAACCCCTTTCCACCCCTCGTCCATCGACCCCTTGGAATATTTATGCGCGCCTCGTTCGAATGGTCCCGGAGGATTTGTTCGAACAAAGGATTGTGTTTATTTGTCAACAGCGAACTGGGGATGGGGGCGGGGGCGTGGAATGGAAATGTCAGGCGGAAAGAAGTCGAACGGAAACGACGCGCTAGGTGCGCGACACCTCTGATCGCTGGTCCGACACGACGCGACGATGCCTCGATTTTGTTATTCGATTATCCGTGAAAAGTCGTGGCAACCGAGTCGAAGTTGGCTCTCGTCGATTCATCTCCATACACAGGGGCTCGTAGTTTTAACGCGCGAGCTATTATCTCTCGTCGAGGCGACTCGATCGAACGATGAATCAAATCAAACGCCGACGACGCGCCCTGACGAGCAACGGAAAACTCTTGCAAGCAGCATCGATCGATCCGAAGCGTAATCTTTGCGATGGACGTGATGGATGGTCTAATAGTTTGCGCCGGGGCAGCGCGTAAAAAAGCACGCCGGAAGTCGATTTCCCTTTCGCGGGATAATACGATCCTCGAATCAACTTAATGATAATTTAAAGTTTTAGCTCTCGGAAGTAGACGAGGGAACCGCGGACTTACTGTTGCTCGAGCAAAGTTTCGAAAACTTCGTCCGCTGGAAAAGAAAAACGTTCTCTTGTCAGCGACGTTGCTTCCTTACTTATGCCGCCGGGTCGTTCGTGGTTTTCGTTCGTTTCGCGAGTATATTATCCCCGTACCCCTCGAAAAAAGAGAAACAAAAAGTAAGATGGAAGAGGAGGTGGGAAAAACGGGGAGTTAAAACTAGAGATTGCGGCGGGCTTTTGCGTGTATTTTAATTAGATTACTCGCCCTTTATACGCGTGTACGCGAAAGGCAACATCCCCCCGGTAGACGCTCATGAATCTTGAACGCGGCTCGCGATGAATTTTTATACCGTTCGCGTAAAGGTGGATCGAGAATTGCAACTTTGATAAAACTCGAATAATCGCGAGCGTCGTAAACGCGAGCCTATTTAAATTCCGTCTGGTCGATCATATGCGGGTTTAATTCAACCCACCTGCGGGGCCGGCTCGCAGTGTCGCGAGACAGGACCGTAAAGTTGCAAGATAAACGTTAAAAAGACTCGTCGCGACGAAGCTTCGCGGACGGTGAACCGTCCTTTACGAGAAGAAAAATCCGACTTTTGGCCGAAGTTGGGGACCCGACGAAAGTTACTTCGGGATAAGGAGTATCCGCGGCGGGGTGTTTAACGAATGAGCACCGGGGTGACTCGATTCTCCGTCGTCTTTTCCCCGCTCCGGGCTGTTATTCAATGGGACCGTTATTCAATGGCACGTCAAATTTAGTAGCCGGAATTTTCCCATCCGTCCGACTCTCGTTCTAAGTTCGGATGCCCGAGAGCCGTCGGATATATACATACGGCAGTGGATCGCGCGAGGCTGGTAAAAACAAATAGCGAAACTTCCAAAGGCTATCCCGGAAAAGTTTCATTATTTTCGAACGAGACCGTGCCAAGAATTTCTATTAAAATAATAAGAACTTAAACGAGCCACGTTGTTATGAAACCGTATGCCGTGGGACGGCACGGGGAAGCAATTCGAGGCGCGGTAAAAGATTCCACCGGATGATCTCGGTTGAAAATTTTGTTTGCGGCTTCATCTTTCTATTTTCCGCTTCTTTTCTCTTCCCCCTTTTTCCCACGGCTTATCGAACTTCGCGAAAAGCAAACCTTTCTCCGGTCCCGGCTGGAGCGGAAGGAAACGCAACGCTTAACCTTCTCATACCTCGCGAACATGATTTAATTAACGTATCGTCGGCTCGAACGAGGCAATCAACATCTTAAAGGGTAGCACCGACGTCGCTCTTACGTTTTACGCGACGTAAATCGATTTTTCGCGCGCGACGTGACGACCAGCTTCCCGTAATCGTCCTGACCGGCACGTTAAGCGAAAATCAACCCTTGTACACCCAGCGGGGCGGGTATGGGCAGGGGGAGGAAAGAAAGCGTAATCCCGTGACAGGAATAATCGGCTGTAAGTTGTCGTTATTACAGAAAACTTGGAAAATGAGATACTTGTAGGGCTTAAGGAACAGCAATATTCGTAAATTCCCATGCGCTAAGCGTCTTTCAGAGCAATTTAACTACCAACTTTTCCCCGACGCTCGCTAACCTAGAAATAAAACAGCGCGATGTCGAGCTCGTTTGTTTCACCGTAACTTCGGCCCGCTGCACTCTCGTTCCTCTCCCAGTTGCTAACTTCCACCACCCGCGCGAGTCCTCGCGAAAATTTATTCCCGATGCGAGACGGGTACCTACGACTTCGCCACGTAAAATAACGTCGACGCGCTTTCATCCGTCCTCGTGACAAGCTGCGAGCCGTCTTTCCAGAGATCGTCTCGCGCTTATCCGAAATCCCGCGCTGGCTTGTCGCGAGGCCCGCGTAAATCGCGACGTCGCGAGGAAATTTCCCGATTCGCAACCTTCGAAACGTCTCGCAACCGCTCCTGTTCTCGACGCGTCTGGCACACGGCAGGTATAATAAGTATCGCGAGTTCTAAACACGTAGATCGACGCCAGAAGCCTGGCGTTCTCCACCTCGAGGCACGAGCTCGGGTAACAGCCGCGAGATATATCGAACGTCTATGCACCTACCCACGCGTACGTTACTTCTGCTTCATTCCCCTCGCGACCGAGACCGGGCCGGCGCGCGTAAACTATTTTTCGGAGCGAAATTCTGCACCGCGCGACGAGCAACACGAGCTTTCGCACGCGTGCTCCGGCCGGACGAGCAGATGGTCATAGATATAGAATATGAAGCCGCCGCGAGCTTCCCTCCTCTCGTTCGCCTAAGTATATTTAGCGGGTAAACTGATGAACTGCCGCGACACGGTTTACCCCGTCCCGACGTCACGCGTATCTTTTTCTCTCTATTTTTCCCTCCTTTCACCACCCGACAGACGCGTCGCGTTGAAAGCGGCCTTTTTACCGCGTTCTTTACATAGCCCGCGCGGAGACACGCGGACTACGCCGAGACGCTTTTTGTCCGGCTACGGGCGCAATAAAGCGCATAACGCTCGTAAACGAGCCTAACCACGGCCCACCGGCAGGCACCCCGGGGAAAGCCGTAAACTTCCCGGCACTTGTTTATCGAATAGAAGCCCCCGCGCGGAGCGTTTTCGTTAGCCGTCGCACTCCGCGGCACTCCGCGCCAATCGCCCTACCTTCCGCGAAAGTTGCGCGAGCGGGGTTTAAGCGAGCGCGTCTAAAATTTGCATGACCGATGCATCTCGCGGCGTGCTGCTAAATTGAACAAGTAACCCTGCTGGTATCGCTTCACGCAGAAATAGATTAAATTAAGTTACGCGCGGCAGTGCAGCGGCACGAACGAACTGGGAAATCGCGGTGAACCAGGCCGCGGGCGGCTGAGTCCTCGCGAGAGGAGAATGGTAAACACCGTGTAATGAATTCCAGCCGGGGGTCGGAAGCCGGAGCCAGGTTCCGGGGATTAAATCTGACTAAAATCTGACATGAATTCGGCGGACATCGAGCCGGTTTTTCGCTTCGGATCCCCGATTTCCAGCCTCTGCCGTCCCCGTTCTACCAGCGTACGCTTGAATCCGCGAGATCCGGGGGCCGCGCCGTTAATTAAGTCGAGCGCGGAAAAGGAATCAACGGGGAAGATAAACACAGGTGTGTAACACCTTGCCCTGCAGGAATGTTGGGCGGCGCGAGATTTCATGGCGTTCCGAAACGAACAACTCGCGATGCTTTATTACCGTGCTTAAACGTTATATTGTACTCGTACGGCACAGTTCGTTACGGCGAGCATCTATGCCCGTAATGTACGGCGAAAATATTTACTCCGTGCATCTGTTGGCACATGAAAGCGCGAATCGCGATTTATACCAACACGGTGCAACTTTATTTACAAACTTCCGTTTGTTCATTTACATAATGAAAACGCGTCACGCCGCCATTAATCCTGTCATACGCGAACGTAACGAAAAGCGAAAATTAATCGTCGCAACGGGAGCAAAAGAGGGGAAGAGGAAACGAGCCATCGAAAGAGGGATCACGGAGCGGAGATGAGCGAAAGTGAAGCAAGTCGAGGGAAAATATGGACGATTTCGACGTGTAAACGGAATCTCGCCGGATATTCGCGATGATCTCGCTAAAGAACGGTCCTCGAAACTCCATCGTTTCGAGTCGAATTTAGTAAAATCGGTAATTCGATGGGAATAATGGCGACGCGTGAAGAGTCCGCTGGTAATCGACATCCAACCGGCTATTTTGCCGTTCCTCGTGAATATCATAATCGATCGATGTGTTACACCCTTCGAAAGATATATCTGGTCGTAATTTATGACGCCCTCCGCTTAATTGCGCATTACCGGTCGCCAGGGATCGAACGGTGTAATTCACGCAGCGCGAGATACTTCTTTTCCGACGTCGGCAATCGGATGAGTAATAGTCGCTAGCTCGCCTTGTAAAATGGCCGGGAGCGTAAAATGGCCGACCACTCGACATCCGAGGAATTTACGAATACTATTTGCTCGATTAACGACGGGTCGGATAAAGGCGTTAAACGGTGCCCGGTGTAAAAGGACAACGGTGACGATAATGAAATAACGAAAAGAACGGGGCTTAAAGGTTTTCGGAGCTTAAAGCCACGGGACCGTCCCCGAGTTAACCTCTTAAAGCGAGCAACGTAGACGGAACTTAGCAAGCGGTCGCATTAGCACGTTAAATGGCTACATTAAGAACTTTATATAATAGTTAATTTCAGTCTGTTTGGGCAACGCTATTGCCACTCAGTGAATTTCGTCGTAACCCGGTGTCCTTCCAGTGGCTTCGTAAATGATCGATAAAGTACACACCGCGTGCCTGGGGACGCATAAAGACGCCAACTTTTACGATGGCAGGGCTACGCGCGTTATCCATTAGCGCGAAAATGATCGCGATCATGATCACGGTATTCGTAGCGAGACCGATTAATTATACGCGACCCGAAACTTTCCTCGAGTGTTCTCCCGCTTTCTAGCGTCACGATACACCGTCGATCGGGAAGTTCGTGTTCATCCCGGAGGCGAATAATAAATGCAATACGGCTGGAAGTAACTTGTAGGTCGCCGGAATCGGAACGAATAGAGGCAAGGTAACGAGGTTACCCGACCACACTACGAACATCTTTGACGAATTAATCTTAATCCCTTACCTTGCGATTTCAGTTCCCACGCCACGTGCCATGATCGAACAGCAAAGTCGCACAGTCGCACAATCACGCGTCGAGCCACGTCGTCCGAACGCGACGAAGAATAACACGCTACTGACACGTCTCAACTTGTCCCGACAGAAAAACATCGACGAATATTAACGGTCAAACGCGTCGAACTTTGCGCGAACGCGGCGAGAGCAACACGTAGCCGAGACACGAAAACATCCGCGAATATTAACCACGAGCCTGACCTGTCGTGTTTACGTCGGGTCTTAACTACAGAGGTGTTTTTCACTCGCGATACTCGCGTCTGGCTCGATATCCTTGTCATACCGCTTCGCCTCGTTGCAAACGAAGGCGTTGAGATCGTCTCCGATCGAAGGAGGAGGGTGTGGTAGCTGCACGCGAAATCGACGAGGCTGGACCATCGCGGTATAATTGCGTGGAAATTTGGCAAAACTAAAGCTGCCCGGTATCGCGAGAATCCCATGGAACGATGGCGCGTTAAACTCTTTATGGCTGATCGAAGTCGAGGAGAAGATATTATTACGATGATAGGAGCGGGTAAAGTGGATTCCAGGATGGCGCGCGATTCGAGAGAGAAGATCTATAAAAGCGATCATAGGCATTTCAAGCTCGATCCCGAACGGTAGTCCGTACACAGTCCTTGTATTACGCGCCTAGCCTCGACAAAGCGACGATTACGAGTGCTATATAGCAGGGAATGGATTCGCCGTGGGCGAAACGACGAAACGTCCCATCGAGCGAAACGCAAACATTCGAGAGCGTACCTCTGTGGTGGAGAGTGAAACAAACGTGCCGAGGAAACCGAGAGGCGTACGTGTATATACGCGCCTATACTCACCGGCAGTTCGCACCAGCACGTTAAGTAGAATGGATAGTAGAAGGGTGGTAGCCTGGTATCCGTGTATTATGATCATCAGCCACCTCGATACTCTGGATCCCGCGGCGTGCCATAGACCCGTGGCCTCGTGTACCATATTTTTCTGCCGCGCCCTTTTTCACCCAGCTTGCCGCCAATTGCCAGAGCCTCGTCGCCCGCCCTCATTCACCGACGTCTCGTTCCCGGATCCAACGTCAACCGGTCGAGCACTGTGGAACCACGATCTCGAGCCACCGGGTTTTATCAGAGATTGGAAGCGTTCCTTGCACGGAAGGAACTCGGAGGTAACGTCCGGACTAGCAGCTCGCAAACGTCGTTGCGGAAACTCGATTCACCCTTGTCGACTCGGTGTTTTCGATATTTCGAGTAGACAGAGGGAACCTTTTATCGCGTTTCACTGTGTTGCAATTGTTACCCTGTCTCCCGTTGCCTTTTCTCCAGGATTGATTAGCGCAACCGTGGAAAGAGAAAAGTTTCTGTTACCCTGGAAACCTAGGGAGCAGAACTGACCTCCGCCGTGCAGCTAAAAGATCTCCTTGCGGTGAGAGTAACTCGGCTAGATCAATCCTCCCGGTCTTGCAGAGATATTGCGCGAGCTTACGAGTTACCGACCGCCTCACGTAACGAATCGCGTTTTAAGGTACCGTGTGTATACCCCGGTGCACGACGGTAATCGTCGTTAATCGTGGTTAATTCGTAACATTACGCCACGGACCGGTTGTTCCTTGACGGCCACGCGAGCAACCGTACTCGCGAGTGATTCCTCTCGATAGAAACGAGGCAGAACCCAGTTTCTCGAGCTTATCGCGACCCCGGCAGACGTACACGACGGGTGAAGCAAATGCCACGAAGGGGCCTGGCAAGTTGCTCGATCGTCCTTCCCAGACTATTGTTCCACGGCTCTATAGCCGGCCTCTCGAAACGTTCGAGATACACCGAGTTCCTTTTCGTATGGATGCGTTGGTAGAACAAACCGCGAAGATACACGTGTCGAAACGCTCAACGGACTCGAGGCTGCTCTGCGGTGTATATTGTCGGAGTTCGCAAGATGTTGCGGCGAGCCGGTGGACGATATCCTTTGGCAGTGGGGTTAATAGCGTGCCTCTGGGCGAAAGGACTTTCTTGCTTACCGGCTTCTCATTCAGGTTCATTCACTAACCATCATGCTGCAACGTTACCGAGTTCTGTACGTTATCAGAAATACAGGATGCTCTAGGCCATAGAACCGAGCGTTGCCCGGCTCTCTCTTTCTCGAGTGGCTTTCAGCGTTCCGTCACTACTGTTCCACAGCCAACGGGCTACTTCTCTGAAGGAATCTCTGCCTTCCTTTTTACCCGACAGTACAGAGACACCGTCGGTACGGCCAGAGCGAAAGAGACGGAGAACGGTGCACGAGGAACATTCGCGCTTCTACCTCGGTACCTCGCTACTTCGCTACTTTGCTACTGCGAGATTTTTCTTTGCCCCTCCGAGGGCAGTATATTAGATCGCGTGGAAATTTCGCGATGCTTTTAGCGAACACCTGCCGCGGCCAACGTCGGCTTAATTTCTAACATTAATATTACCACAAGCACAGAAGCTTCCTTGCCGATTCCCGTCCTGTTCCATCGCTGCTCGTTCGGATCCTCTTATAACGTAACATCCGCAGGTCTACTCGCCTGCATCAACACCGATAACGAGAATCGGTGGTACCGCGTCTTCGCACGGGCCAACTGTCGAGACTTTTGCGCACCGCTGTCCTTCCTTCGGCGAATCCACGTTTCCCCTGCTCGATTTTAATTGGAAATACGGGAAACGTCAACGGCGAAAGAGAAGGGTCCGCGAGAGAAGGCTGAACTACGCGAAATGCACGAGGATTCGACCGGTCGTCCGAGATAGAAATTTCGCTAGGTATTACCAAGTCGAATGGACGCGAAACACGACGATCATTAGGTGACACGACTAATACTCGGCCTTAAGCGGACCCTTGTCACGCCTACTTTCTCCGGTTCCTCATTTACGGATGTCTCAACTGTTCCAACGCGACGTCACTCGTCGCGGGCGTTAACAGAGCTCTGCAACGTTTCCACCTTCAACTCGAGACCCTTTTCAACGTGGTGCATTTTCGTCGCTCTGCTGCTCCCAACCGGCGCGGCCTGTTTCTCGGCTCGGCACAGCCGTCGGTTCGAGCGTTTTACACACGCGTTGCCTTCGTCTCGCAAGGCAAACACCAGAAGATTTACCAAAGAATTTCGCGGGCTCCCAGGTTTGTGGATATTGTGCAAGTTTGTGGAATGCTGTGGCAAGATGTGGCTACCAGACGACTGTGTCTTTAGCCAGCCGAGTTGACGCTCTCTCCGCGCTTGCCTTCAGGCAGCGACCAACCCTTGCTTTCCTCCGCTTCCTTCCGAGGAACGTCCACCTGCGTGTACACGTGCATGCACGCGTACACACACACACGCGCGCACACCCACGCACGCACACGAGGGAACGGTGGCAGCAGCGCGTGACGTGTCTTCGTGGAAGATCTTGGTGGTTAACCTGCTCCTTTGAGGAATTTCAGCTGTCCCGCGGTTAGTATTCCGGGCAAGGCCTAGACCGAGCTGTGCACCGCTTCAGGGATTACGGATGACGCGCTTCCTTAAGGGTCGACTCGTCCCTGCTGCTCCTGCTGCTGGTGCTGGTGCTGCTGCTGCCGCTGCTCATTCTCCTGAAATTCGAGCAGAAAGGATATAGTAGGTGATACGGCAGACGCGTTGCGACAGTCCCGGTGGTACTCGTAAAATCTTAATGGTAAACGGTCCTCCATTTTTCGTGCTTTAAATCCAACGGAAATCTCGCGGACCCCCGAACGAGGAAAATGAAATAGACGAAGCGGAAAAGAGAGTGGCGCTTTAATTTAGTGGTGCTATTTCTTCGTCCTTCTCTGCTCTTCGACCCGCAACTACTTCGTGCCCGCAACTCCGCCGGAAATGGCCCCGGTGATTCTCGCGGTTCGAGACCTAGTCGCGGTCTAATTCCCCGCGTTAATCGAACATTCGATAACCGGCCACGCGTGTAACGACCGTTAGATAACGAAGCGGCACCGAGTTTCTGCCGGCAAATTAATTTCGTCGAATCTGTTGCTTCTGCTTGCTCGCCGATTCGATCATCGGGGTATCGCGTAACTCTCGCGGATAGCGGCTATCTCGCGGGACCCGCGTATAAAAGTCCATCCGTTCCATCCGTGTACCCTTACGTTTTCGTTTTCAACGGTGGAAGACGGCACGGCAACCGGTGGGAATTACGGGCCCGGAGAAACTGGAGGAAAGAAAGGGAATCGCTTTGAAGCGATTTAACGGGAGCAGACACTCTGGAGGAGACGAGTGGACGGGACGAGGAAAATTTTCACTTTGGCTGGTGCCGCCTGAAGATGGATAACGACACAGGCGGCATTTATTAAAAGATCATCACTTGTTAGAGGATCCTCGAGAAACGAACGAATCGTTGCGACAGCGACGCCCACCACGAGACGCCGAGCACTTCGCGATACGTCCCGTGAAAAGCGACTTTTCCCCCGGCCACGAGTGCACTTCTTCCTCTCCTATCTTTACTACGCCGAGCGTTAAGCTCCCGGAAGACGGCGCGAAATTTAACGAGCGAGTAAGGTCGCGAGCAAGTCGGAGCAATAAAAAAGATGAGGAAAAACGAGGCTGAGGCAAACGGGATATAAACGATGATGCGGCTCACGCCGCTGGAAGAGGCAACAACCGCCGGCGGAAGCATGAACGATAAGCCTGGAATATGTGTGAGACGCTGCTCGAGACAGAGACGAAATTGTGGTAAATGTTCCGGCGTAAATGCATACTTCGGGATAAACTAATAATAAATCAGGGGGCATAAAATGCCCGGAGATCGAGTTCCGAAGATCCTCGGGAGATCGAGTGGCTTCGAAATGGTCCGTGATATTTTTACTTCCGTCCCCGTCTTTCTTTGTCTACCACGAATTCGCGGTATCGCGTAAAGCGTGAATTATTCAGGGTGCAAGTACGTCGAGCGTGTACAGTGTCTTTTGGCTTAGGAGTATGTACCGTCTTAGTTTGCTTTAAGGTCTGCGGCTGTAACGATTATGGTTACTGCCACCAGGCTATTATCTCACTCGCGAGAACTCTAAAGTCATAGATACTTTATGCCACGGTGAAATACGACTTTAGCTGTTAAATATTTTCCGAGCGCATTCAACGGCTATGTAAATTACCGAACACGGGCCAAACACACTTTCGGCTGTCTCGTCTTCGGTGCAGGCAAGAAGTTTCCTTTCATCGCGCGCTTTTCGACACTTTTACAACGCGTTTTTACTTTAATACAAGTGATCCTCGAAGGAAATGGAAAAATGTTTCCTGCATCTTTCGCTGGACCATTTAAAAGTTCGAGGTAAGTGAAAAGCTTTGGTATTTTAAACTGCCATCTTCGCGAGGAATTCCGCGTAAAACTCAACGATGGATCGTTCTGAATAATAAGCACGCTAGAAAATATGAACCGCCCTTAATAAGTCCGCGCTCATACTTCTGGCTGGCAGTGAATAACTCGGATATAACTCAACGTCCCTCTCTCTCCCCTCTCGATACACGCGACTCCGGCTCCCTTTCGACCGTATCTTTCGCGATTCTTTTAAAAATCGAGGCCACGGGTGATCAAATTCGCGGTAAATACGCTCGAAGCTTCTCTAATTCGCTGGCTGTACCAGCCATCGGGAGATTTCGCGCTCGCGAAAGCAGGAAGAAAGCTCGACTTGCCGTCTATCGAAGATGGAACGACCAAGAGGAAGGAAAGAAGCGAGCGTGCGTCTTTCGCGAATCTATCGGGATCGGGAGGTAAGTCACGATGTTCGCAGACGCTCGGCGTATCTCCTTGGGAAATATGGTAGATTAAGGATTTAGGATCACGAGCAGAGGATAAAGAGCGGTCGACTTTATGAATACTAATTGGTATCCTGGAGGACATTTGTCGACGGAATTTATCGGGTTTATCAGATGTGAACCCCTCCTCGTATCTCGGCGGGGCTCATTGAAAAGGTACATCCCCAGCGGATCGGTCGTCGCGCAGAGAGGGATGACGAGTAACTTAATACCGGGAGAAGAGAAGCGTATTACGTAAAGAAGCTTGGAAAGAGTCGGACGTTGAATAATGTAGATCCCTCCGCCGTGTCCCCCACTTTCTCTCACTTTCGCATAAACACGTATCGTACGTACGTGAACAGGATGGAACGGTTTGGCCTGGATTTGGCATCCGTACTTGGTAATTAAGTTCACTCCGCTGTGTACAGGCGCTCCTCTCTCGCTCTGTCTCTCGGTGGTACACGGAATTGCACCATTGCCGTGCCGATTAAAGTGCCGATAATCCCGAGCATCGATTTA